TTTACTCACCTGTTCCTCAAGGGCGGTCTCTGCAGCCTCTTCTTCCCTTAGCTCCGGTGGTCCCATGACGTCATCACGTCTTATGCAGGCCCATTGACTTGCATTAGCTGTGGGGATGCTGAGGGACAATACCGCAGCTGGAGAGAGGCGTGAGTGCCGATCACTGTGGATCAGGTGAGTATATTCACTTTATTTGTGCCCCCCATGAGACGTGATGGCGTCACAGGTCCTTAGACCACCAGAGCCCTCCACTGCATGGGTAAGGCCTCATTCACACGAGAAAAGACCGGCACGTACAGCTCCATGCTGTGTGCACGGCCGTATCTGGCAGCTCCCAGGAAGGACAGGTGCTGCGTGTGATTAGTACGCAGCCCGTGTCCTTCTCTATGGGAGTACGCGGCCCTACGCTCACCTCAAGTGCAGATACGTGCGGGTGTCCCGGCTCGTACGCATACAGGATCCATCCAGACGTGCAGGGCGGGTGAGCGTAGGGCGGCGTACGGCCGCATAGTGCCATAGAGAAAGACGGGCTGCGTACAAATCACACGCAGTACCTGTCCTTCCCGGGAGCTGCCCAATACGGCCACGCACGCAGCACGGAACTGTATGTGCCGGCCTTTTCTCGTGTGAATGAGGCCTACGGTTTTTTTGATTACCCAAGTTCTTCTTTAACCAATTGCATTTCCACTTGCACCCAAGAGGGCCAAAGGTAACTTCAAGAGTATGAAAGTTTTAGTTGAGCCCCCTAAATATTCACCAAGCCATAGGTTGGCTTGTGGACGATCCAGCTCTGCAACTTAGATAATGGCAGTGGTCAGAATTTGGTTGGTCTCATTGGCAAGTCATTAAAAGTAACGCGTCAGTTTGCCATTTCTAAAACAAAGTCATTAGGACCTGCGAAGGCGTAATAAACACGCGGAATGTTTCCGAGACCTGGAATGCCCCTTTGAAGAATGGCAAATCCAGAAGTTCAGCGAAAAGCAGCGAAAGAGACTCAGAGAGCTCAGGGAGATAATTCATTCTTTAACCCCTTCGCGACCAGTGACTTACATAGGATGTCCCTGGCAGCGGGCCCGTTTAAACAGAATCCCGGCGACTCTGTTTACATTTGTAGAGCCGGCGGCCGGCTTTACCATAGAAGCGATCCTGGCGACTCAGCTGTCGCCAGATCGCTTCTACGGGCCGGTAAAGTGGCTGCCCCCGCCTGACACCCCCGCAGTGTTTCCCGGGCTTCGCTGCCCCTTCTGCAGGCCCAGGCCCGGCATCTCAGGTGTCGGCGGGAAGCTGAGGAGGAAAGCGGAGAACGTCTGTTAGTTGATCTCCCCGCTCTATGGGACCGGGAGCAACGCAGATTACATCACTTCCGGTCCCTGAGCTGTCAGTTCCGGGCTCCTGAAGCTCAGCAATAAGTTATTGAAGTGCGATCTGAGTGTAAAGGTGACACTAGGGGTCTTTTGGATCCCCAGTATCACCTTAAAGAGGACCTGTCACCACCAATAGGCTATCACATGGGGTGCTTGTAAGCCTACCTGTGTCATAGCAATTAAAGTCAATTAAAAAAAATTAACTGTTTTTAATAATATTAAATGAAATGAATGTAAGAATATTTTTTAAAATGTTTTAAAGTCCCCTCGCCCCCGCGAGCATGCGCATCTACAAGTAAACATGTGTCGGGTGCGCCTACCTATGAAAACAACGATTGCGCTACACATGTCGGGTATCGCTGCGCACCCCGGAGGGAGAACAATAATTCTAGGGCCAAATTTTTGCGTATCTCTAAACTGATGACCTGTGGGGGCTTTTAAATCGTCTATGGACTTTTTGGGGTACTACATTTTGTCGCCATTTCACAGCCGCATACAATTTTTAACCCGGGCATGTTGGGTATCTATTTACTCCTTGTAACCTCTTCTTTTATATTTTAGTAAACAAATGGGTATTTTATTGTGTTTTGGGGCACTAAAATGTAACTCAAGTGCATTTTTCACCAAAATTTTGGGAATTGATAATAAGTTGCGATAATATCGAGCAACATAAACATTTGCACAGGGTGTTGGCTTTCATAAAATATACAGGGTTATTCACAAAAGGGTGAAGAGTTTGGAGAAGGCGGGAGAAGTGAGCAATCTAGGCAAAAATAGCCGATTTGGAAAAATTCTCCAATTCAGATCACTTTCCAGTTCAGCTATGTTGTCCTAGATTGCTCACTTCTCCTGCCTTCTCCAAACTCTTCACCCTTTTGTGGACAACCTCCATAATGTTTTCGGGTTTGAAGTAATTTTCAGGCCTAAAATGTGGATTATAACATGGATGCAAAAAACTACAAAAAAAAAGGGGTTAATGCGTTTTATAAATGCGTCAAACCTTCCGACGGATGTCCAATAGCAGGAAAAGTAGCAAACTTCAAATATGTCTTCTGGGGGGGTTAAACAGACCCTGCGTTGCTTTATTTGGAAGCATTCTTTGGAAGGTGGCAGGTCCTCTTTGAGAGGCTGTTGGCTGTGACGGTTGGCGGGTGCCAGCAGTGCCAGCTGGGAGGTTTATAAATAAAGACTTTATTGGAACAAAACAACTGCTATAGCGCCCCCTGCAGGGGCTCCGCTTTTCTACATGACACCTTCATCGGCTCCCACTGTGAATGTCCTTTTGATACTCTACCTTCACGCACGCTTCCATTGTAGAGCACGCATACCGTATCCACCTACACAACATATGAGACTGTCTATGAGATTTCAGTGTCAGTTTGTATTATCCATTAGCGATGGAGTTGTCTGCGAGCTACCCAGCTGAGACGGGGGAAATTCCTTCCTCCTCTTATAATAGCAGCGTGCTGAGATGATTGTCAGTACACCGGCAGAGGATCAATGGCCTGCTGCTTCCTGCCTAGTATGAGGACTCACTCTTCTAGATTCCTAAAATTGAATGTTTGGTGGCTTTGTACATATTTTCTGACGAAGACTAAAAAAATATCCAAAATTGAAAAATTGTATCTTTTTTTTTTTAAAGTTAGATAAACATGAAACAAAACCTATGAATAAGGTGCATTCTCGCTTTCAGCCAGCAGGTGGAGCTCTTGGCACCTTTTCGCATCTTTTCCAGTTTCTGCCTAAGCTCCCGATGTTAACAGAGCTCGATAGCTCAAGCCTAAATTTACACACGCAAGTGAATGAGTCAGATCAGTGGCTCCTCCACCTTTCTTCGTTTGTACGGTTCGAACCGTGGTTAAAATCAGAGACAGTGAGGGGAATTTATAACAACTGGAGCAGCCAAAATTTGGGGTGACTGTACATGGCAGCCAATCAGCTTCCATCTTTCTTTTTTTTCTTCGAATCTTAACTGAACAAACTGAAGAGAGAAGCTGGTTGGTTGCTATGAGCAACTGCTCCAGATTCTGCCTGCTCCAGTTTTGATAAATTCCCCCCAGAGTGTCTGAAAGAAGACAACTACTGCTGTGCTGTCTCTTTAGATAACCCATTGCGCTCTGGGAATCCTTTGTCATATCTTTATTGTTTTTTTAAAACAAAGATTAGATTGATATAATTAACATATATATATATATATCATCAGTTTAAAACTTGAACCGTTCAGGCCAACGCACGTCAGTGCACTGCACAGATGTGAACTGGCACTATTAGAAACAATAGCAAACCTGTGCACATGCTTTACCATGTGGCCCTGGGTGGAATTGGGCCCTGAAGCTAAAAGATGATTGGTGACCAGGAGAGAAAAATTCAAACTATTCTTCCGCCAGTCATGGTGTCATGTACCTGGAAGGAGACCGGTGGAAGAGGAGGCCTCTCTTGCGTCATGCGTCCTGCACTCCCTGGAGGTGGAGACAGAGTGTGGCAGGACTGCGAGAAGCATGAGAATAGGGAGACTGGGCACCATGCTAGAGATAACCAGAATAGGGTTGCCACCTGTCCAGGATTCACCCGGACAGTCCGGGTTTTGAATGCTGTGTTCGGGTTTCATGGCAGCAGAAACCCGGACACAAGATGTCAGGCAGACAGGGGCAACCAAAATTATGATAGGGGCTACTGGCCCCCCGCTGAAAATAGTCCCAAGTGGGATATTTACACATGAATGGTTGGAGCTATTTCTATATGAATAAGAATTATCCCCCAAAAAAATGTTTGCGCGTTGCTAGAGTGTTCGGGTTTTGCTTAAGAAAAGGTGGCAACCCTAAACCAGAAGCAGAGTGGTTAACGTGGCTGAGGTAAAACCGGGCAGGCAGCGTGGTGGCAGAAACGTGAGGCAGGAGCGTGGTTGAGGAAGCCGAGGTCAGAACCATGAGGTTCAAAAACGACAGGCAAGGGGAAGTCCAGAAAACAGGCCGAGGTCAAAGGGCAGGCAGAAAGAGAGTCAAACAATCCAGGTCCAAGAACAGGGCAACAGGCAATCCACAGGTTCAGGGTACAAGCTGAAGACCATCAGCACTGAAGCAAAAGGCAGGCTTGCTTATATAGGGCAATCCATTAAGATGAGATGTCACTTCCTGTGTGTCGGCCGTGTGCGCATCTTCCCGCGCACTTCTGGTTGCATGCACATGCGCACCAGAGCATGTTTTCTGGCCATTCGGAATGCAGGTTTTCACGTATGCGCAGCCGCCAACTTTTCCTTACACATGGGTTTATGTCCAGATACTAAAGATGAGATGTAATAATAAGGTATAAGATTGTCTGAGGGCTTTATAGGTTGAAAAAATAATTTTTCATTAGCAACTGCACTATTGCAGGGACTGGCAGGGACTGGCAGGGACCGGAGGTGTTTCAGTTGATCTGCAGCATTTATTACAGACTGGAAAGCAGTCGGGGTTGTATTTACCATAAAGCCACCCCGTGGGCCAGTGCCCGAGGCGGCAGGGTTAAAGGGGGCACCACCACTTTTTTGTTTTTTGCGTCCCTCTCCTGTCCACCCCTGGACTTATGTTCCAAATCAGCAAGAGAACTGTAGCGGGCGCAGGGGGGATGTAGAGAGGTGTCATCCAGGTATGATTCACTTTAAAGCTGAACTCCAGGCATATTTTATTTATATATATTCCATGTGTAAATTCACTTTGTGTGCTCTAAATGCCTGTATAAACCAGATATTACCTTGTACAAGGAGTGGGGACATCATCACTGTGCTGTACAGGGAGCAGAGCTGTGAGAGGGACCCAGCAGGTCCACCCATTACTGGACACTACAGGAGGGGGAGGAGACAAGACCAGTCACCCTGCACAAGGAGAGAGAGCAGCAGTGACCGGTCTTTATTACTGGAGGGGGCGGAGACGAGACCAGTCACCCCGCACAAGGAGAGAGAGCAGTGACCGGTTACAGGAAGCTCCAGGTTTTGCACAGATCTGGAAGGAATACACAAAGCTCACCACCAAGGTTCCAGGATGAATACACATGACTCTGGTATGGGGATAATATTTGCTTATCCCGGGGTTCCGCTTTAATTTGTACTTGAACGGCGGCATGACGCGAAAGGCTCATCATTCATCGTTCAGGTGTGACTAGGACAACGCGATGTCTAAATACAGCCCTGAATGTGGCCGGCCTCTTCGACGCGTCTTTTCCAGGAGAGGCGGGATATGATTAGAACATTCGCTAGTACATTAGTCGCGGCGTGCAGCATGACACAGGGGCGGGTGCGAGATCTGTTCTGTAGTTGAAGACAGCGAGCAGCTGCTGGAGCATGAATCTGCGGAGAGAATGAGAACAGAGTGAAAAATTACCCCTAATGGAAAACCAAGCAAGGCAGAAAGCTGCGCCGCGCCGTGTTACAAAGTCACAACATAAAGTACAATGTCTTCATAACCGACCCGGCGTCAGATATATTATTCATGTTAGGTACATGTAGGTATTCATGTTAGGTACATCCATGCCAAGTAATATGTCAGCGTTACACTTCCAGGCATTTATAACATCTCGCAGCGATCGCAGGACTCCCCCCTGACAATGCCTTCATCTGCTTTTCCTCTCTAAAGGACAGAGACATCCTTGTTCAGGCATCACCCAGGATCACCATCTACATCCTGCGCTGAGATACCAGCTTAGAGATCGCACAATCATGAAAAAAAAAAACAGTGTCCGTGCAGTTCTTGGCTGTGTTCACAAATGTCTGACATAGATCAGCCCCCTGCTGCAGTCTCTTGTACTTGCTACAATGTTACAATGTTGCAGTCTTATCATTGAGGGAGGGGAGACTGAGGGCTTGTTCACACCACATGCAGACCAAATCTGCATGAGTTTCTGCACATGCACTGCAGTGTGTTTTGCCACCTTTTTGAACCGTACTGGGCCGTTTTTTGGGGGGGTTTTTTAGCCTAAAATGGGCTTTCAGTGCGTTCCAGGACGTTCACATGCGTTTTTGATGCGTTCGCATGCGCTTTGGTGTGTTCCAGAGCAGAAAGAATAGGGCAAGCTGCAGTTTTTTATAGCATTTGATGATAAAAACAAAACATTACTTCATGTTCCTGTGCGTGCACTGTCAACGTTTAAACGGATAAAAAACAATTAAGAAAATGATTTGAATGTCCCTTTAATATTGAAGACTAGAGCACAGCAACCAGAAATGTCATTCGTCCGTTCGCGCAAAACCCCAAATTTCGAAAATTCTTCCGAATTACGAATCCGATCCGAATCCGAAACACATACAGGACCATATTTCGGAAATACGAAACTAAACTAAACGAAAACTAATTTTTTGCGGCTGCACGTCTAAAGGCAACCCACAGACGTCTCTTACTACAGGTTTCCCGTAAAAGAGAACTATGGCCCAACTGTTTTGGGCCATAGTTCTTTTTAGCTATTGCTCGCTATATACTGACAGCAGAGAGCCGCACTGTGGCCCCAAAAGATCCCGACAATATTGTCGGGATCCATCCCACCACCTGATTGACAGATGGCTCTGCCTCTCTGAAGGCAGAGCCAGTTGTGCCAGCCCCCTCCGTTCCTCCAGTCAGCGATGGAGGAACGGAGAGGGGAGGGGGAATCCCTGCAGGGAGCGGTGACCGACCGTCACTCGTCTCTGCAGCAGGGAGAAGATTGTGAACTGAGCGATCAGCGGTATGTGAACGCTCAGTTCTCGATCTATAGAGGCAACATGTGACAGCTGCAGTGTCACACATCGGCTCTAATTATGGGGATGAGTGGATTTCCCTCTCCCCATAATTAAAGATCATGTGACTGGGTGGCCCTAACATGCCTGTTATTAAGCAGTACGTGTTTTTTCTATTGTATCCTATGACGAGGTGCTAGTTGTGCATAAAAAAATCTGGGTTATTTTTCATAAAGAGAGCTAACAAGTTCTTATCGATTATATAAATTACTAGTTGAAAAACATGAATACATGAAAGACGAGTGTGCTCGCATGTACAGGATGGATTTTTCTAGTACTAGCTTTTATGGAGGTGATGTCCATAGAAACCCACCATTCTCTGAATTCCCATAGTTGGCAGATGAAGTGTTGAGACCCTGTTGGGCTGAAGCATGTAGGACAATGTTTGTTGGACAGTCATGTCAGGCTTGATGTGACAGTTCACAAGCAATTAACTGTTTCTCTTGTCTGTTTTGAAAGGTTGTCCATGAAATCAGAAATTACCCCTACCCGCAGCTTCATCTCCTTGCCCTCCAGGGTCTCAGTCCAGCGCGGCACACGTCTGCTGTGACGGAAAGCTATGAAGTGAGTAGATTCTTGCTTCATTTTAATGTCTGCCATTTAGAAAAATAATCCTAGCATTGACCATTCATTCATCCAATCAGAAATCTGAGAGTCCCCTTAAATGTATACACAATAGTTCGTCCTATATTCAACATGTATGAGATATAGTCGATCCCTGCTAAACAATAAGAGACTGCCCAACCAGGTATGTTTATTACAGTACATTCAACTAAGTACGTCCTCCATGGTCGATCTAACATAGTGTGTCCATCATAGCCCATCCACCCAAGTATCTGTGTGATAGTCATCTACCCAAATATGTGCAGGACTCTCTGGACAGGTGCATGAATGACAATCAGTCCAGCTAAGTACTTGAATAGCAGTCCCTAGACCTAGTACATGAGTGATAGTACTCTCAATTAAGCCGATGACTGTCATTACAGCCTTCAAACTCATTAGATCAAGCATGTCATTTACAGCCCATTCAGCTAAGGGTATTAGTTACAGTACACCCAACCAAGAATATGACTGTTAGTCCATCCAACCAGTGACAGTACATCTAACCAAGTCACATAGTTCCATAGGTTGAAAAAGATCCATGAAAGTGTGTAAGTGACCAGTCCATCCAATCCCATGTGTGAATGAGAGTTCATCCAACCAAGGGTATGAGTGACAATCCATCAATTTAAGGGTGTGAGTGACAATTGTTCCAACCAAAGGTGTGAGTGACAGCCTATCCAACCAGGAGTGAGAGGCTGACAGTCAAGTCTCTGAGTGTCAGCCCATCCAACCAAGGGTAACAGTGACAGTTCAACCAACCAAGGGTAAAAGTGGCAGCACAGCTGACCAAGGGTTAAAGTGACAGTCCATCCAACCATGGGTGAGAGTGACTGTCTATCCAACCAAAGGTGACAGTGACTGTCCAACCAACCAAGGGTGAAAGTGACAGTCCCTCCAACCAAGGGTGAGAATGACAGTCCATCCAACCAAGAGTGAGAGTCACAGTCCATCTAACAAAGGGTTAGAGTAACAGTCTATTCAACCAAGGGTAAGCGTGACAGTCCATCTAACCAAGGGTAAGCGTGACAGTCCATCTAACCAAGGGTGAGAGTGACAGTCCATCTAATCATGGGTGAGAGTGACAGTCCATCTAACCATGGGTGAGAGTGACAACCCATCCAACCAAGGGTGAGAGTGACAGTCCATCCAACTCCTCCAACCAAGGGTGAGAATGACAGTCCATCCAACCAAGAGTGAGAGTCACAGTCCATCTAACAAAGGGTTAGAGTAACAGTCTATTCAACCAAGGGTAAGCGTGACAGTCCATCTAACCAAGGGTAAGCGTGACAGTCCATCTAACCAAGGGTGAGAGTGACAGTCCATCTAATCATGGGTGAGAGTGACAGTCCATCTAACCATGGGTGAGAGTGACAACCCATCCAACCAAGGGTGAGAGTGACAGTCCATCCAACCAAGGGTGAGAGTGACAGTCCATCCAACCAAGGGTGAGAGTCAGAGTCTATGCAACCATGAGTATTAATGAGACTCAAACCGTCTAGTCAAGTGCATAAGTGACAATCGATCAAAACCACATATGAGTCTCAGGCCATCCATCCAAATGCAGCAGTAAAAGTGCTTCTGAATGGGGTAACTTTGTGTAAGCCAGTTTAACTATTAACTAGTTATCTGTTTCTGGATAGTTCAGCTCAGAACAGCTAGAATGTTTTCATGTGTCAGAGCTCTCGCAGTTTACTGCAGCATATCTTTTCTGCAGCGACGTCTTCCCACCTTTGTAATTAAATAATAAATCCCCAGGACAGGAAAGCTGCACAGGGAATCTAATATTGCATCTGGTAGTGTTATATGGCTTGTAGGACTATCTTCTCTTATTGGGGACGTGGGGGTCAGCCTGTGATGTATAATTATTTTGATTTCCAGTGCAATGGTAAAGATGGCGTTACATTTGTGTGGGAAGATTATTTGCTTGTCTACTGACAATAGCGTAGATGAAAGCACATCAAGTGTTGTAGAATGTGATGAGTGGGCTGTTAGTGAGAGAGCAAAAATTACTTCTCTCTGTACCATACAGTAATGTACCTGCAGACTGTTACTGTGACGAGGGCCCCATAGCAGAACCATTAAGGGCCCCCGTGCCCCTCGGTCTTAAATAAATTCTCTGTGAATGTTGAATGCAAATTGATTTTAAAGACTGATTTCCAAACTATATGGACATTTGGCAAGTATCAACGATTTCTAACCTCATCACTGATTGTGCAACCAAAAAGTGTTGGGCCCCTTCACATCTGCCCATAGATAGGCTTTATGCTGATATGAAAACCATACGAAAGTATCCATACATGTGTTCATAATCAGATTTGGACTGTTAAGCAACTAGCTGGTTTATTAGTCTGATTTTGGATTTTCAAGCCTTTAAATTATGCTAAAGAGGAGCAAAGAGTTAGGTGTGACAGACACAGCGGATCGCTCAGCATCTGACAATAGGACACCAAAGTCCTTTTTATTTATTATTGGTATTTATATAGCAGACAATTTTACACATTCACATCAGCCCCTGCCCTCAAAGAGCATACAATCTAAGGTTCCTATCTTACATGCATACATACAGGGCCAATTTAGACAGGAGCCAATTCACCTTCCAGCATGTCTTTTGGAGTGTGGGAGGATACCGGAATAAACCCACACAAGCACATGGGGAACATGCAAACTCCTTACAGATAATGACCCGGTCAGGATTTCAACCAGGGACCCCCAGTGCTGCAAGGCAGAAGCACTAGCCACTACGCTACTGTGCTGCCCATATTGCAATTAAAGATGGGACTGACATGAATTCTCACGCCTACCATGCAAACGGAAGATAAAAGGTAGTATTGGGAAGAATGGCTTAATGCATTCAGATAATGAAAGTTTGCTTTGGTTGACCAAGCACCTACACTGCTGTTCCAGTACTTTTTCATGGTTCCTCCAAGTAGGCCACCTCAACTTGAAAGAGGACTGATTGGGAAGCTTGTACTCTAAGACTAGATCTAGGAACCCTGTGTATGTACAAACCTTAAGAGATCTAAGCACCCTTCACAATCCAGTCACCTTACACGTGCCATAGGTAACGCGAATAGGTGTTGAAGTATGAGACTTGAGGCCCGATTGCTCTGGTTGGTTTTGAAAATACACCACTACTTTCATACCTGGAAAATACAAGAGTGGTCTTACCTTACCTGGCTTAGCATATTGTTTGCTCCAAAAGTACCCATAAAATGCATTAGCTCGAACAGTTTATAAAATTGTATGTTATTAGCTACAATCCTAATTATTACACAGGCAGCTCAACATCTCAGTAGGACCAAAGCTGTGAGCAAGTCATATAAGCCTGTGTGGTCACCCAACGTGGCCGGACTCTTACAGAACAGGACATTTCTGGATTGTTTTAGTGAAACTCCGGCCAAAACTTTCTGACTTATTGTGTCCAGATTGGGGTGATCTAACCTGACTATTTGTCAGTCACTGTCACAATACAGTAGCTGGCAGGGAAGGTTCCTCCATCCATGCTGTTTAGCAGGGACAAGGGAACCGGGAGTTTGTTCTCTTTCAGCTCAGTGGGCGAGCTTATGGGTCAGCTCAGTGTATGGTCAGCTTAAGACCAGGGCTTGGGTACATAGTACCAAAAGGAAGGGGCAATAGAGGATCCTTAAAGGAGGGAAGGAAAGACATACCATAAAGAATACAAGAGAGTACATAAAGTAGGAAGATAAGTTGAAAGTCTCACAGATATGTTATCACCCGGTCAGGCATAATATGTTTGAGAGCAGATAAGACTCTCCTACACTGGAATAGAAGCTGCTGAGTTTTTTTTTATATTGTCATTGTTGCACAATTCAAAAGAGAAAAAAAACAAAAAACTAGAACTGGAAGTTGGATGTCCTCCACAGAGCCCTGACCTCATCCCTACTGAATACCTTTGGGATGAACTGAAGCAATGATTGTGAGCCAGGTCTTCTCATCCAATATTCACAAATTGTCTTTTGGCTGAATGGACCCAAATTCCCACAGACACACCCCAAAATCTTGTGGAAAGTCTTCCTATAAGACTGGAGGCTGTAACTGCCACAAAGGGGAAGGGAGGGACTCTATGTCCATGGTTTGGGAATGGGAAGTCCAACAAGCCTATATACCTGTGATAGTCAGGTGTCCACAAATGTTTGGCCATATAGAATATGTTGTATAATATCTGGTCAGGATGTAAAGATGTACAAAGGCAGGAAATGGTACCGTCTTATTTTTAATAGGCATCTGCAGACACACCAACAACGGTGCTGCGGATCTTGGGGGAGAAAGAATTGTGGAGATAATGCAATGGTTACTTTTTAGAAGTTTATAAATAAATATGATATATATTTACAGTAGGGATGCACCGATACCGACTACCGCACTCGGTACAATTACAGATACTTTTCGTGCTCCAAGACTAGACTAGAGAAAAATTCAAAAATTAGGAGGCCGCTGTTATTTGTAAGGAACACACGGAGCTCCTGGGATTTGTACATCTCTGTTTTAATCTATGATTTGGTTTTTACAAATGTAAATAAAGGGATGCACAGATACCAGTTTTGCGAGTACAAGTACTAATGTTTGCCCAAGTACTCACAGATACAAGTACTGATACATTTTTGTTTATTGTCATGTGACAGTTTTTCTAAAATACATACTAATGATTTCAGGACAGTGGTGGAGTGCCAGAGCCAGGACCCAGCTGCAACCGCTGCAACCCTTAACTAGCTATATACTCATCACTGTTTAAAAACATATTAGATTTTTTATTAAGAAAGTTGGCCATTTGCTTTGGTTTTTCTGGCAGATTATGTTAAGAGGCTGCTATCTTTACTTGGGAGAGGAGGAAGGGGCATTGTCCCACCTCTGTCCCTTTCATGTCCCTTTCATGTCTCTGTTTAGCGCAGCAGTTGTGAAGACTTGCTAAGATCACCATTGCCGGCTTCAAGTGATAATATGAAGTGTTCGAATGCAGTGTTTATCTGATTGAAAAGAAATACACAAAAAAATTAGCATTTCACATAATAATAAAAACACATTGGAATCCCTTTAAAGTACAGTAATTCTATAACTGCAAGTACCGGGATGCTTAGGATTCAGAACTGTGATGTAGAAAGTGGTGCAGGATGTTAGAGCCTCACAAAAAAAAGAGGGAATTAAATTTGACAAATTTATTGGTATATGTGAAATTAGCTGTAAGCTGGAGAGGTTGAATCCGTCCACATTGCTTATCATTGTGGCAGTATTTATTTTACTATTTATAATGTGACGAGGACGTACATTGAATGATTGCGCCTGTCTGATTTCAGGAACTGCTGCAGTTAGAGGACAGACTGGGAAGTGTGACGCGGGGAGCAGTGCAAAACATCATTGAAAGATGCACGTTTCCACACAAGTACAAAAAGGTACAAACCATCACACACTTTATATACATGTACTTTCATGTCTCACAGCTTCTCAAACATTGAGAATGATAGTTTATGTTAGTATTATTATTATTATGTAAGCCTTACCCTACCAGAAGCAAACTGTCTCTCCTCGCCTCTCCTCTCCCATTCACTCTTCCCCAATTATTCTCTTTAACCCCATTACATGAGTACTCCCTCCACCACCCCTTGCTACTCCTCTCTATGGCCTCCCTTAGGTCTGTCTCTACTACATAATGGCACTATGTATGCATCTATATACACCCCTCCAGGTAAAATCATGCTCTGCATTCCATGTCTGTAAAGCAGGTGTTAGGTTAGCTTATCAAAGTAATACCAAGCAGTGGAATATCACAATCTTGAAAGCTTATTCTAATAGCCAGCTGCAATGTTCTGATGCATTTCACACTAAGGCACAGAAAGCATTTCTTCGAGAAAGCACTTAATCTCAGCACAAAATGCGTTCAAGATTTTGGCACCCCAAAGTGCTGTATGATTTTGATATAAATGCACTTAGTCTTACTAGCCCATAAATAAGGAAGAGCACCTTCTCTGTAATTACACTTATTCTTGATAACATCTGTTACACTGTCTTTATCTCATTCGTTCAACGAGTTATTTTTCAGTGCTTACAATCTATATGTAAAACTCTCAAATGATTAAAAATGATTGAAACAGAACTTAATGGGTTCCCCCCGACCTGGAATGATACAGCTTTCGCACTCTAATCAAAGCTATGCCCCGGCATGACCAACCAGCTTGGCAATGAGCACAGGGTGTTGCTACTGATAAATTATCAGATGTCAGTAGGCCCTCGTGCGCTAATGCACAACCCCATTTCAAGGTTACCAGAACCCAAGTATCTTACCGTCTTTCGACAATCCATGCTATGGTCCGTGTGTACTCTCACTAACAGTCTAGATGCTGCCTCAGCCTATATAATCACCTGTTAAAACAAAATATAATGATGTTCCCTCTATCTATAAGGAAAGCCGCATTTTTGCCTCGCTGCCGTTACTTATCACAAACACAAGCTCATGTGGCAGCGCAGGCACCATCTTGGAACACCCCACCAGTACTGGTTGGCTCCTTATTCTTCAAGATCATCTCCCTTGAAGAAACATGACAATGTACATGCAGATATCGCCAAAGGGAACATGTCAGAACAGCTGTGTAATGTCTCAGCTGAAGCTCTTATCTAAGGGTGGAGGCTAACATTGGTTGACTGTTGGAATCAGTGTTCGTTCAGGGCCAGTTTGTCGATGTGCAAAATAATATGGATAATGCAGATGTGTACTGTGCCCTGGAACTCACCTAACCTTTGTGGTTGCCAGCAGGACAACATGCCGCTTGACTGCTCACTCCTAGGTTAAACCAATTGGCTCTCGGTAATATTCCTCTCTTAATTGTTGTCTCTTTTATTAATTGTATGGCAGAGGATACCACATGATGGCAAAGACATGAAAGAAGATGAGGAGGAGGCTGACACAGACGAGAAGTGTACAATCTGCCTGTCAATGCTTGAAGACGGAGAGGATGTCAGGTAATGAGAAAGCTGCTCTTCTCAGGTCCCCTGTATCTGTAATAGTTTCCTTTAGAGACACGTAGAACCTGAGTAATTATACCAGGAACAAGAATAGGATTGTACTGGAATTGAATTAGGTAAGGGAAGAACTCGAGGACAATAACCAGTGAACAATATATTTATTACAGCTTACCAGCCCTTAGATTTGGTTCCTGTATATTTTTCCTTTTTCAGGCTTTTCTTTTGCAGTCATACAAATATAACAAAATGCTTGCAATGGTTTATTTAATAGACCAAAAGAGCAAATCAGAGAAATTCATTGCTAGGGTTTACCTACACTTCAAACATCACTCATCCTTCTCATTTCCTTCCTCTTTCTGCAGGAGGTTACCCTGTATGCACCTCTTCCACCAATTCTGCGTTGATCAGTGGCTAGCAAACAGTAAGAAGTGCCCTATCTGTAGAGTGGACATCGAAACGCAGCTCGGGGAGGACAGCTGAGAAAAATCCCCCACGTTGGCATCCGAATTCTCTTTATCAGGTCCTCACGGCCTCCACCTGCAGCAAACCTTTTGCTTCCTGAGCCATTTTAAGGACAGTCTGCAAGCACATTATTCTGTAGATGAATCGTAGGCACGTAACTAAAAAAAAAAAATACTGGAGGATCTTAACAGCCATAATGCCCCGTTTCGCAGGGGAAGCGGGCCTTCTCCCTGCCACAGGGCCGATCGCTGGAGACGAAGACTGGCCCTTCACAGGTACTATTGTGTCAGTCTGGCTTGCCAATCCTGCACTGCAAAGAATTGTACATATACCTCTCTAATATGTAGAATCAAGTAGGGGTCGTAGCTATTACTGTGGATGGCATCCGGAGCATGTTAGCTTAAAAAAAATATTGTGTTCGGTGCCCTAGTCATCTTGTGGTGGACATGTTGCTATTAGCCTATTTTTGCACCAAATAATATTTACCGTTTTATTTATCTTTACCTTTTTTTTTTTTGGTGCTTGAAGGAGCCATTGACACATTTTACATTTTCCAACTTCTGAAATTGAGGCGAAGAATAAAATCCTGTTTACAGTTTTAAAACAAAAAACAAAAAAAAGGATTGGTTTGGAGCCTTAAGTTTAGTTACTTTAGTTGAACTAATGTATTACTCTTTACTTATGTTTACAGAGGATGATACAAAAGGCAAAACTTTCAAAATTACGGGTGGACTCTGCTGATGCTGGGGAGAGGTCCTTTGCAGCCTTTTTTTTCTGTCTACATTCCTGATAGTATGTAGTCCCCTTCCACTGGGCTTTGCTCTGTAATGTTGAATACGTTTCGCTAGTAAAGTAGCTTCCTCAGCTCTAGATGGGTGTGAAATGTCTTCAGCATTGCAGAACAAGTGCAGTTGAACACGACCATCTACTACTAGATGTACCATGACCTGAATAAATTAAAACCTTCACAGACATACATCCCTGATTTTTTTGTAAAGCTCAACTATACAAAAAAACTGATATTCTGCTTTTGGCTGGACCCTGGTGAGTTGATTGACAAGCTGGGCTTCATGTCTTGGAGACTCCATTGCCATTAATGTGCGTTGGTTTGCATCTCTGGCCCATCTCAAAAGGCTACCACAGAGGCTCCTGTCTTGATGTCTTTCTATGAAGAATCCACTGGGGAGCATGATAGCAGGTGGGTCAGAAATGGAATAAGTCACCATAGGAGACACCAAGAGATATTACGAGGCAAGGAATTCCGTTTGCTAAAAAAACATGCCAGAGTATCAGTTTTGGGTAGGGGTGGCTCTTAAATAATATAAAGAAAGGGAAACACAGCCATGCGTACAAAATGGCCACAAGCATTTTAACACTGCTGGCCCTAAAAGGGATTACACAAAGGGAAATAATGATAATCTGGGGAATTTGTTTTTCACCCTATGGTGTTGAAAATTACCAATTACCCTTCGAAATTTTAAATAAGCAAAAAAAGAGCTTCCTAAAATGAATTACACAAATGGAAATAATAGTAATCTGAGGATTTTTTTTTCACCCTATAGTGTTGACATTTACTAATTACCCTTCACAATTTACACAAGGGAAAAGGAGCTCTCATTGCACTTTGCTCTACATTATTGAATTACAATAAGCCACCAGTGTGTATTTTTCAAGTCCTGCCCTAAAGAGCCAAAATGCACCTATATTCTTCATTCATATATTCATATATTCTTCATTCTTTTGTTACTTAGCAGCAACTTAGTATTTTAGGCTATTTTGCATTTATCTCAGTGATAGTAACGCAAGATTCTTACCTTTTGCCCATGAAAACAACAGTGTTCTCTATAAGAGGTGTGGCCTCTAGAACAGGATGGGGCTCAGTAGCTAATAGCTGCAAGGCGACACATTGAAGTATTATAAATTTAGCTCCTGTCTTTAAATATATAAAAAAAAATGCCAGGGTAAAATTAGTCAAGGGTAGTCTGCGTTCATAAAATGTCAGGTGTGGTCATCACAGTACCCAGTCGAGAGCATCTAGCTATCCTCTAGCGTTGGCCAACTAGACTTGTGCACCTTTATGATTAATGGAAAAACAAACACACAGAAGACTAATTGACATTCAGGGGCATAGCCTGCCATTAACACGCACACCTGCCTCAGTGGATAGGCCAGATATTACATATTGATTGTACTAATGCAACCGTTGCTGCACCTCTGTTTTGTCACAAATCCAATGGTGTTATTAACACCTCGCCAGTTCTCCGCAGGATTCCTGAAAGGGCTGACATTCTACGGTAGCATAAACAACGAAAAGCCATTTTAAATCCTTCAATAAAAGCACAATTTACCTAATAATAACAAATGGACAACTGTTTGCTTGTAAACAGTTGACCGCCTTTAAACGAGCCAGAGAAGCCATCCTAGGACAGATCAATCGCCATTCTGCTACGTCCGTCCTTTCTGAAATCCGCGCAGCTTGGCGAAGGGGTCCTCGGCATCAGCAGAGGGAAACCAGACAGCGCAGTTTATTCTTTGTGGGATATACCCCATTTTTCTGAGAGCAAAGTCTTTGAAGAAGTTGTCCAGGACAGAGTTCAGCTATTTCCATGTAATCACAAAGGGGGCTGTTCAGTTTTTTTTATAGACCTGGGTTTATTAACTCTGTGGCAGAGGGCTGCCTTTAGGCTCTGAGCCTTTATCTGAAATCAGCAGTCCTGAGCTGGTTTGGTTGTTAGGGTAGGGGCTGATATAGATGCCTGCTTAGTTCTCTAGAGGGTGCCTTTAGTACACCATCCTCCAGTTGCCTCCCTCACACCCACTTATTACATATCTGTAGCACTATAGACCAATCTTCCCTACAGCTGATTTCAGATGAGGGCTCAGGCATTACGCAGCCTTCTTTCCTGTAAGAAGAAGCGGAACGCCAGACAATTTTTTTCTGTAGGTTTGGATAGAGTGGAGAAGGTGTAGAACCTCTGATTACCTTTTGTGTCTGTCAATTTGGGAAGATTTACCCTCCCTTCCCGTCCTGGTGACTGTTGTCATCAGGACAAAACATAAGGGGAAATCGAAATCTAAAGGGAAATCTAAATTTTCTAATGAGGACACCTATTCCGGTGAAACTATCTAAGAGCTGGTTGCCCTCAAAGAGGTCTCAGATGGCAATAAACTAGACATGTGCGATTCATTTAGTTCCCAATCAAAATTCGTACGAATTTTCAGAAATTCAGACATTCGGACACATCCGAATTTCCAGATCCCAATGCATCTGTATGTGTCCAAACCCGAATTTCCATTTCCGAATTTCAGATCCTGTCTGAATTTCGTTCAAAAACAAAACTGAATCGGACATGTGACTTTTCTGGCCAATCAGATGTGCTTTTCGGTTGAATGCATCCGAATGGGTCTGAACACAAATGTTCTTTACGGCAACATGGGAGCCATATACAGTATATACATATAATACTAAAGCTGAGGCTCCAAGACCCGAATGGCATTCAGGATCCGAATTTCCAAATTGCATTTAGGAGCTCCCGAATGGCATTCGGATCTGGGAGCCTCAGCTTTAGTAATATATGTATATGGCTCCCAGACCCGAATAGCATTTGGGATCTGAATTTCTGACATGCATTCGGGAGCTCCCGAAATCCATTGGTGTCTGGGAGCCATATACATATATTACTAAAGCTGAGGCTCCCAGATCCGAATGCCATTCGGGAGCTCCTAAATGCAATTTGGAAATTCGGATCCCGAATGCTATTTGGGTCTGGGAGATTTAGCTTTAGTATCAATATCTGTATATGGTTTTCTGTGGTATTTGCAACAAATACTCGTAAACTTATCCGAAACGAACGAAAATTCGGATTTCGTCCGAATCAGAAACCCGAACCAAATTTAATTTAGGATCCCGAAATAACTAAATATCCGCAACGAATTCTGCCGCAGCTTACATGTCTAATAGAAACCCATTAGAGGTCATAATCTTCTCCTACTCTATCCAATACCTGAACAAAGTTTTGCCTTCCCTACAATGAACTCTAATCTATAAATCACGAAGCAGCCCCCTTGTGAAAGGCAAGAGTTTCAGGCTCCTGGAGAAACTCTTCAAGGGCACAACCTGGTAACCTGGTAGGTAGACTGCGACTGTCATAGTGCTGGAACTGAAAAGTATTAAACTCTTAAAGAACAAGCACATTTTTTTTCAAAAAAAAAACATTTTACAAAAATGTAAAAAAAAAAAAAGCACCAAGTTTTTAATCAAAAGCTATTTGTGTGTATGAAACCCTACAATCGATGGGCTGTATTGTCGGAGACAGTATCTGTGTTTTGGGTACCACGTGTTTAATATCTCGTGAGGTTTAGACCGCTTTTAGGATGATTTTGGAACCGTTGTAGATCACAGGGTTTTGTGACTTTAAATGCCTTATATTTAACAATCATAATTTATGACTAACTTGTAGAGTTTTTTGTGGGCTCTTATTTAATTATTTTTATAGTTGTTTTTGGCCTTTTTAATTATAATTTATTTATTTAGAGACGTTACTAATTTGTTTTTATATTATATATATCTATATATGACTCCTATTACCTCATTTTTTTGCATTGTTCGGATATGGAATGCGCTGCATGTGATGGTACGTTTAAAAAAAACAAAACAAAATGAAATCTTTATCTTGTGAACAAAAAAAAATGTTGCGAATAATAACGACGATTAATTCAGGGTGTGTGTTGATGAAGTGTATCTCTCTCTTTTTTTTTTTTTCGTGGTGCTGTTATCTTGAAAAACATTCCATTAAGAATGCAAAACCTTTGATTCTGTATGCTGTGACCTAGTGGATACCTGCAATATAGTGAACGTGATTAGCACATATAAATATGATTTGCACTCATGATCAAACCGAGATGAACCTTTCGCTTTCCTCAACGTCTATTAAATAATCATTGCGGTAAAAAAAAAACAATTAAAATCCTACTCTGAGGATGAAGAGATGGCCACGAGCAAGAGTTCCTCATGTCTTGCTAAAAGAGTTGTATTGAACAATTGGTGTCACATGACCGCTGCTGGACAGTTTTCCTAGCCAATGGAAGATAACATTTAGGCCCCGTTGCTTCCTTTAACCATCAATACAATTCAAACTAAATATTTAAACTGGAACACTATCTAAATGTTTTTGTTTTGGGGAAGGGTTAGAACCCATTGGGTATATTTCCTCTCAGTTCCTCTGGTGTCACCAGAAAATGAACTGAGGGTAGATCTTTCCAACATTGACACAGACAGCAACAAAAAGGGAAAGGGAAAGAAGCAAGTACACAGCATTCCCGCCACTAGTCCAAACCTGAGCTCCTCCGAACATGGAAGAACACACCTTCTGCTGTAGCCAGGCAATTTCCCACCGCCACGTAAGCAACGGGGAGGGATGCAGTGACGTCATTGGCCTTACATGGTCACATGG